GCGGGCAGCAGGGAGGGGCGCGCTGATTAGGCCCGGCCGGCCGGGGCGCGGAGACTTTCAGCGGGAGTCGGAGGCCTGAATACAGGGTCATTATTGCTACAAGTTTAGCAATTTCGCCCTTACATGAGGGGGCGGGGGCTACTAGGCTGCTGCGGGGCCGCCGGGTTGGGGAGCTGTAGAGACTGTGGGGAGAAGGAAGAGAAAAAGAAGGGGAGGAACGAAGGGGAGGCAGGAAAGGGAATCCTCTAAAACCCTCTGACCGCCCAGGATGAGGCTTGGACGCATCCGAAAGGACTTAGCGGGAGACTAGAGAGGCGGTGCCTGGGGGGGCGAAGACCCTCCCTCCCCTCGCCTCCCTGGAGGCGGAAAGACCCCGGAACCGACCAGGAGTTATTGCATCCGACTGCTGGTCCCTAGCTCCTCCCCGCCAGTTCTCTCTTTTCTCAAAAGCTGCCCTGAAGCTGGTACACCGCCTCCCATCACTACGTTCACCACCGTGGAGCCCAAGCACGCTTCCTGGAAGCCTTCTTTTCTGGAGCTATTATCTTCCCATGAGTTGCTTAGGCTAAGGACTGGGGACGGAATTCTCGCTTCCTAACACCTTTCGCACTGCCTGCAGCTTCTAACGACTCATTCATTCATTTATCCATTCAACAGCATTTACTGAGCACCTACTAAAATAGGTTTTCATATACGTTCTGGATGCCAGAGACGGTGAAAAAAACCGTGTCCGTAGGCTTATGGGGTTTATTTTCAGGAGTGTGTGAGCCAGGGAGGTAGACAACAAACATATAAATGTGAAATAGTAGATAAATTCTAAAACGGAAATAGAACCAAGTGCTGGAGGGAGGGTTCTTTTGGAGTAGGTGGTCCAGAAAGCCATGTTGAGACTACATTTAAGCTGATGCCTGAATGACAAAAAGGAAGCCAGTCCAAACTACTTCACAGTTGCCACCTCCGTGCTTCTGCACAGGCTCTCCCCTCCGTCTGGAATACTCTTCACCCCCAACTTTCTGGTGAACTGTTGCTCCTCTTTCAAGGCCAAGCTTCTTTCCTGAACCACCCAAGTGGAGGTAGTCGCTCCCTCAAATGTGCCACCAGAGTCTTAGGTACTTTCCAATATCATAACAAGTGTCCTGCAAAGATTTATTTGTCTCTCTCTATCCACGTGAGGTCCCAATGAGGTCGTATGTGTGGGGAGGATGTGGGGGCAGGTTGGCATCTTTTTCCTCTGGGACAGATGACACAGTAGCTGTTTGTGGGGCCAAGTTCCTTCTGGGCCATGCGGATAGTTCTAGTGGTGTGGAGCTGCTGGCATTGGGTGCTGACTGCAAGGGAGATGCGGGGATGGATTCTTGGCTCACCTGGGCAGAGCCAGGACAGCTGACGGAATCGTTGGCGGAAGACCTGCAACCCATCCTGATCCCGAGGAATTTCCTACCTTTGGTAACCTGTGATGTGGCCTAGGACACAGCTTCCCCAGGGAATTGTTGCCCCTTGTCCTACAGCTCAAGACCTAAGAAAGGAGGCTGAGAACTTGATAATGATCTTGATACTAGGACACAAATTTTCAGGGTTGGGGAGGACTTGGGGATAGGGAAGAGAGCTAGGACTCGGTCGGGGTGGGGGTGGAAAGCTGGAATATATAGGATAAATCCCGGACCTACATCTGGGACCCAATTCGACTTCCCCTTCATTTACTAGGTGAGGAGTACGGTAGGTGACCAAGATGCTGCCAGCACCTGGGAAACGCTCACTTTAAGGCTGAATTTAAGCGCCTGCGCACCAGGAACCCAAGGCTCCCGGGAGCAGACGCCCTTCCACCGCTGGGTGTTTCCTAAGTAAGCAACATTTTCTCCCACCTAGGCTGTATCTTGCTAGGCCGTGGGCTCTCAATGCTCCCAGTGCCAGATCCCCACCTTCCTTGCCTGACTTCCTTGTAGCCTGCGTTAATCTTCCTTCACTCTGCATCGCCTCCAGTTGTAGACAAGAGGCGTGTGACCCTTATAGAAGAAACAGAGCTGGTTCTGTGGATTGGCTTCCGTGCAGTTTGTGTGTCTTGAGATACTTAAAGCCAGCCTGGGCCAGCTTCTTCCCGCTTTCTATTCTTCCCCAGAGCCTTCAGTCTCTGAGTATAAATAGTTCCCATCTCTTCCCTGTAGGATTTTCCTACTGCTTCTTGTTAGAGTTTCCGGGCCTTGGCCACTGGAGGGTGAAAACCCTTGACCAGCACAGATACCTCTTCCTTGAGCTCCCTCTGCAGGGGAAAAGACGCCCTTCCAGGCCCAAATTGTTGCTTCAATGTATTGTCCTGAGCCAGAAGGTGTCTTAAAACCCAGGCAGACATTCTAATGACCCAGGAGACTTTGAACAGGCGAAGTGAGCTGTCCCTTTGGGCTCTGGTTTCTGAGCTCTCAGACAGAGAAAAGGATGGATATACGATTTCAGAGATTATTTCTAGCTCAGATCTTTCTTGCTTCCTGGAATAAGTGCCACACACCACTGGTGGTGGTGGTGGTGGTGGTGGTGGTGGTGGTGGTGGTGGTGATGTGGAATAGGTTCTAGAAGGCCTTTTTTTTACCCCCCTGCAGAGTGTAATTTTGAGGGTTAAGAGGCTGGACTCTAGAGTGAGGCTGCCTCCATTCTAACGTCAGCAGCACCACGACCAGTGGTAGAGACTTTGAATAAGTTAAGAGCACTCTGAACCTCAATTTCTTCCTCTATAAAATGGGTATGTTTATAGCACCTCTCATGTTTTTTTATAAGCTGCAGTAAAACACAAATTTTAAGCCTACAACTCAACGAATGTTTATATATGTAAACACTCATGTACTAATCAACCTTGGCTTTGAAAATTAAATCAGACGATCCATGAAAATGCAGCTTAGCCAGTGTCTGGTACGCATCAGGTATATTGCTTTAATGTTACAGGACAGGCCAGTGCAAGGCACTGTGAATACTAAGAAGCCCAGGACTCTATTCTGCCCTTGAGGCACTCGCAGGTCTTGGGCGGGAGTGGGGGCGGGGGGAGCGAGGCTGTCGGAAGCATTCAGAACCCCAACACCACAGGCGTGCGTCACCGCAGAGGCTGGTTGAAGCCACTGCTGGCAAGCCAGGGGCAGGAGGCCTTGCAGAGGCTTAGACTTTGGCTGGGTCTGTAGAATTCGACTAAAGGGGAAGGTGAAAGGAGATTCGAGGCGGAGCAGTGCGTCATCTCGAATTCATCACTGTAGGGGGGAGGAAAGGGTCAGCAGGGGAAACCCAGCCCCTCTCTGCAGGGCTACTCCCGGGTCGCGCGCTCCGCTGTTGG